TGCAGAAGGCCTCGGCTACAACTTACTAAGCGTCAGTCAGTTGATGGCGAAAGGTATTCACCTTGAAGCAGACAGCACAACTCAGGAGTTTAAGTTATATCACGGGAGAGGAGGACTTTACATCGGCAAGGCGGTCCTTAAGAACAACGTCCTCGTTCTTGACTTCGTTCCTGATCTTGGCACGGCCGACAGCGACGCCATCGTCAACTTCACCAACTGGACACACCCTCCAGATCTTGATCCAGACTTCAGTCCGAGCGGCTTCTTGTACTCGCACACCATCCCTGAAGCAGAAAGAACGAGAGCATTAGCAACAATTCAACATTCGGCAGCAGCAGAGACAACATCGGCAGCAGCAGAGACAACATCGGCAGCAGCAGAGACAACATCGGCAGCAGCAGAGACAACATCGGCAGTAGCAAAAACATCAACGGTAGCAGCAGGAACGGCAACACCAGTCGCAGGTCCTTCAACGGCACCACTTCTCTTGATTGACGACACTCCACCAACACCTGCGCAACAGCTCTACCCGGCACGACGAGAAGTCCACCGAAGTGCAAACGTCACCGCCAGCTTGTACTCCAACTCCGACATGTATCAACGCTCACCCGTACCGCCACCGAAGGAACCTGGCACGCAAGGATGGGACATCCGAGCCACACAGTGTTAAACAACACAATAAGAGCAGGAGTGCTCGACAAAGACTCACTCCTACTGACTAACGGAAGGGAACTTCAACGAGCGCGAGGAACATGCTTTACCTGCCCCGAAGCAGATTTAACGCATCACCCGTTTCCATCTCACCACAATCCAAGCGCACCAGCTTACGCACCACTCGAAAAGGTGTACAGCGACATCCTGTACAACCGCGAGCCCGGAAAAAAACGCCTACAACTAGAACGATCACCTTCATCGACGACGCGACCAGATACGTCTGGCATCTCAACCTGCCAAGCCGCGACATGGCCTTCGAAGCCTTCGTCGCCTGGCTTCCTGCAGCAGAAAGAGAATCGGGCGCAAAACTAAAGAGTTTCCAGTCAGTCGGGGGAGGAGAATACACCTCACAGAGGTTCAAGGACTACTTGGCAGAGAGGGGAATCAAGCGGCTCATCTCCCTTCCCTACGCCCATCAACAGCAAGGTGTAGCAGAAAGGATGAACAGGACACTCCAAGCCACCATGCGCAAGCTGCTACGTGGCATGCATCTGCCCAACCACCAGTGGCCCGAGGCAATGGACCACGCCGTCATGCTGCACAACTTGCTCTCGTCATCATCGCTCCCGAACAACGCATCACCGCATCTGCTGTGGACAGGAAAACTGGGCAGCACAAAAATGTTGCGAGTGTTCGGCTGCATGGTACAGTACCGACCCCCATCTGCACGAGCCGGCCGATTCTCCCAACGCGCACAGTGGGGAGTACACCTGGGCATCGAAAAACACTACAACGCGTGGAAAATTTTTGACATCAACAGTAAAGAAACAGCCGCAGCACGTGATGTCCTTTTTTACGAGAACCTCACCCTCGACGTTCACCTCGCGTACGTCAGAGCAAACAGACCTGATCCCTCGGGCGGATTCACTGGAACCCGAGCCTTCGCTTCGGCAGAAGACGAAGCTGACTAGGACAAGCAGAACGTGGACGGAGCCTCGGAAGAAGCCGGACCACTCCCGTACTGCTGGGTAGACGTACCAATGGACGACGACAACCCTCGCGAAAGCATCAACGCCGAAGTCTTCTACAAGTTCGCCGACGACGGTTACGTTACACCTGAGCAAGTCAACACCAACGAAGCAGAACGCGTAGGGCCCAATTTCGCACCTGACCCAGAAGCTGGAGACGAAGCAGTCTATCCCGAGGACACCACACTTCCCCGCTACACACAGAGTGGACTCCAAATCCTTGGCCTCGTCACCGCAGTCCACGGCGCAGCCATTCCTAAGGAGCCTGCGACGGTTCAGCAGGCTCTGGGGGGGGAACACAGGGAAAAATGGCGCGAAGCCATGGACAGGGAGCTGAAGGCATTAGAGGAGCGCAACACGTGGAAAGTCGTTCCCATCGGCGTAGCACGAAACAAGAAAATTCTTACCGGAAAATGGGTCTTCCGTGTGAAAACAAAGGCTGACGGCACCATCGACAAGTTCAAGGCGCGATGGGTCATATGCGGCTTTGACCAAGAGCACGGACGCGACTTCACCGAAACCTTCGCTCCGGTCAGCCGCCACACCTCACTCCGCATCCTTCTCGCAATCGCCGCCATGAAGAAGAAGAAGCTGCGACAAATCGACGTCGCAAACGCATTTCACTACGCACCTGTTGACGCAGAAATCTTCGTGGAGCTACCACACGGCTCCAACACGGATACCACGCATGTCTGTCAGCTGCTCAAGTCGCTATACTGGATCAAACAAGCCCCGCGACTGTGGCAACAGTACCTGCACGCCCGACTCATCCGCATCGGCTTCAAGCAACTCCCGCACGACCAGGGCATGTACCGGCTCACGAAGAACTGACAGGATCACCACTTGGTTCGAAGGGGAGCTACAGCAAGACCTCACACTCACGGTCTCGCCTACCGTCACTCAGTACCTCGGCCTCAACATCCGAGAAGAAGAAGACGCGATCTACCTCAACGCCGCCAAAAACGCCGACACCATCGCCAAGCGCTTCAATCTCACACCGACCGCCATCTCCACGCCGTACCGCTACACGACAGGAAGCAATAAGGGAAGAACCGCTCTACTCAAGCCCGCCAGCATACGCGACTATCAGAAGAAGCTAGGATGCCTCCTCTTCGCAGCCGTTACCTGCCGTCCTGATCTCTCATACTCCGCAAGCCAGCTCGCCACCTACCTCAAGAAGCCCGAAGCAGAACATCTAGAAGAGCTCGACCGCGCTCTTCACTACCTCGTCAGTACCCCGACGATCGGCCTAACTTACTACAAGAACGCAACTACACCGACTAAGTTAATCGGCTACGTCGACGCCGATCATGCCGGCGACTCCGACAACAGGCGCTCGCGCACCGGCTACATCTACCGCCTCGAACCTATCGGTCCTATCTCCTGGCAGTCGAGTAAGCAGGAGTTAATTGCGCTCTCATCAGCTGAAGCAGAATACATCGCACTCTGCTCAGCCACCAAGGAAGGCCTTTATCTTCGCGAGCTGCTGGAAGAAGCGAAGTTAGCCGAGTTACCCAACTTCACCCTATTCTGCGACAACCAGTCGGCTATTCGCATCGCCAACAAGAACGGTTTCGCGAACAGGACGAAACACATCGCCCTGCGCTACTTCTTCGTGAAGGACGAGATCGAGAAAGGAAGACTCGAGCTATCCTACTGCCCCACGTCCGAGATGGCAGCAGACTATTTGACCAAGAAACTCGGAAAGCAGAAATTCGAGTACTGCATGCTGCTGACTGGACAGAGCCACGTCATCAGCAACGACACTCCAGAAGCGAAGGGGAGTGTTGGAAACAGTGAATCTTAAGCGCCTCTGTCGTGTCGAAACACCGCACCAGAAGTGAAACAAATCACATCGAAACACCCGCGAGTCAACCCTCGGAGGTTGAGAGGTTGCTGGAGGTTACGCGAAAGTCAAAGGTCAAGCGACCTTTGACCTGACAAGTGCAGCGCGACAGTTAAGGACACACAACTGACTCGTTACAGAGCAGTTGCCCGAGTCGTACTGTATCGAACCGCAACAGCAACAGTAAAGTAGTTACAACCGTATCTTTTCGTATTCCTTGTACTATTATATAATCTTGTATCTCTTTGTTATAGTCAACTTACTTTGCCCTCACATACCAGCGCAAGGTGGTTCAAATCGTTCATTAAAAGCTTCCGCAATTACATAGTTCCTACCCAGAGTTTACCCCCGAAAAGATCCTAAGGGCTTTTCTCAGCCCAACAAATTTAACCCCCAACGCTGATTTGGACACAATTTGGACACTGCACACTGATCGATCAACATGCCCTGAAACCAATCTGAGGGCCTGGTCGGAACAGAATTACCATGCAGTTTCATTGAGGGAATAATTTCCACGGTGTTCTCTGGTACTCGTTAACAGCTATATCCGGAATAAATTCGTGTGCCAACTCTGATTTTTCAGCGTGCCCCAAAACCAATCTAGGGGTTACCGTAAGTGCCATTCATTGGAAAATCTGCAGTGGTAGTCAACTAGTAAAATGCGAGGGCACATGGCTATGAGAGCACAGCCATGACATCAGCCTCCCTGAGCACGACATGCGGAGAGCCATCCTTGGCCTTGAACTCGCTGGCTGCATACTTGCTGTACAGCACCGTGCTGCCCACCACCACCTCCACTGCCCGCCTCGACCCGTCCTCCTTCACCGCCCCTGGCCCCACTGCCACCACCTGGTGTGCGGGACAACACGGACACCCAGTTCGGTGACATTGGGATCATTGGGCGATAGCACGGACGGTCACCAGTCCATGCCTCTCGTTGGCTCCCCACTTTACTCATGCCCTTCCATCGACTCGCATCCTTGAACCTTGTTGCAGCAACCCTCGCAAGTCCACAGAGAAGCTGCAGCACAACTGCAGTCGCCACATTTAGCTGCTGCCCCGCTCATGAAATGCACCACACACACGCGCACTGCATGCCCAAGCCCACGCCCACATACTCGTCACAATTCCATCGCCCCCGCTTGTTCCCACGTGCACCACAAGAAGCCCAAACACTGACACCCAACCCCAGTCCCCCCCCCCTCCCCTTACCCGCCTCCCCCTCCCCCTGTCCATTATTACGTCACCGCACAAGCAACATGAATGTGGGGCCAGCCAGCAGCAGGCGCATGACCGGTACATCTGGGTTTGTCTCAAGTGTCCCCACCAGTGAGCACCGCCCTCAGCCACCCCAGCACGTCAACATCTCACACCTACATCCCACTGCTTCTCCTTCACCCGCTTCCATACCTCGTTTTCCTTCACAGCTCCCGCCTATCATCTTTCTCTTGCGTTAAAAGAGCTCCCTGCGGCTACCCGCGTGGGGGCGCAGGGCGGGGCGCACTCACCGTGCCGATGACGGGCTTCTCCTTGGCGCTCTCCGTCAGCAGCACCCCGCCCGCCGTCACCTGCTCCGCCTCTTGCACCTGCGCGCACGCACACGGCACACAGCAGGAGGGGGGAGGAAGTGGGGAGGGGGGATGGGGAGGGGGGAGGGGGGATCAGGGATGGAACGGAAGGATGGGTCTATCCTTCACCCCCACCTGCCTTTGGCCTTTTTTTATCTCTCAGTCCATCCCCATTTCACCCCAGCCCAAACCCCGCCACTTACCATCACCCATCTCCGCACATCACTTGCCCAACCCCCTCAAAGCCACGCCCCGCTTCACCACCCGTGTGAGCCCGTACCAGCCCTTAGCGAGGCCACCTGGACCAGCCGGTGCGAGGCACCCCGCCGCGCACCTTGATGAGCACGCGGTCGCACCTTGATGAGCACGCGGTCGCACCTTGATGAGCACGCGGTCGTACCTTGATGAGCACGCGGTCGCACCTTGATGAGCACGCGGTCGCACCTTGATGAGCACGCGGTCGCACCTTGATGAGCACGCGGGCGCACCTTGATGAGCACGCGGGCGCACCTTGATGAGCACGCGGGCGCACCTTGATGAGCACGCGGTCGCACCTTGATGAGCACGCGGTCGCACCTTGATGAGCACGCGGTCGCACCTTGATGAGCACGCGGGCGCACCTTGATAAGCACGCGGTCGGCGAGCGGCTTGAGCTGCGCGACGTCGTCGCCGTCGAGCGTGCCGACGACGTCGTCCTCGCGCAGCAGCACGTGCGGCGCGCCGTCGTAGTCCACCTCCGTGCCCGCGTACTTGCTGTACACCACGCGCGCGCCCGCCTGCCACCACGCACGCGCGGTTGTGACACGGGTGAGTTGAGTCATGTCACGGACCTCCCACGGGGCGCTCCCAGTGAAGGTTCACGCTTGGACATCCCAACTGAACGCGTGATTTCTACAGCGCATACGAAGCACCATGCGCGCCATCATACGCGCATGGTGGAAAGGCGAAGGTACAGATCGGGGAAATGGGAAGCACGACGCGGCAGGGGGAGACAAACCCTAAGCGCGCATGCGAACACGCCGCTCAAGTATTGCACTTCGCCGCATTCCTTAACGTTATGCGAAAGGGTTACGCGGCCGTGGTGCACGTGCGCGCAACTGGCGGGGCAGGGGAAGGCAATGACGCGCGGCTGCGTTCGCACCTCAACACCGACGGGAACAGTCTTGTCGCCGATGGTTCGCCCGTCGCCCACTGCGACGACCTTGCCGCCCTGCGGCTTGCTCTGCGACGACGACGGCAGCAGCAGCCCGCCCGCCGTGCGCTCCTCCGCCTGCTCCAGGCGCACCAGCACGCGGTCGCCCACCGGCGCCAACGACGAGATCTGCCGCGCGCCGCGCGGTGTGCGGACGAGCGGAGCATGGTAACGAAGTGGGGAGCCCGGGGGAGGGGAGGGGGGTTGGGTGGTTGTGAAGTGGAGAGTTGGCGAAAAGGGGCGGGGAAGGGAAGCGAACGGGGGAAGGAGGAAGGAGTAATACGATAGCAATAAATGGGTTCACGACAATGATGTAGAGACACAGTCAGGACTCGAGTGGACGGCAAGAGGACGGGGAAAAGAATCGACGGGCAAAGCGGAGAGCAACCACATACCGAGGGTGGAACGGCAACTCCCGCACGCACAACGACTGCGCTGCGACCCGAAGGCGACGGGCGGTGTGCGACGGACTGTGCGACGGCGGCGACGGGCTGCACGGCCTTGAGCCCGCTAAAGCTGGTGAAATCCGCCGCTCGAACCGGCGCCGACACGCACTCTGAAGGGCGGGCGAGGCTGGCGCAGGGCCTAGCGGCAAGCATGGAGACGGATGCAGCCATGTGTGGCAGGCACGGAAGGTGACGCGCGGTTGAGAGTGAGCCGAGTGAAGCTTTGGGGGTTTACTTGGGTATTGTGAAGATGCAGGCGCGCAAGAAATGGAATGGAATGTGGATGATAAGGCGGGAGAGATGGGAAGTGGTAGTGGGCGGGTGATGGGGAAAGCACCAGTCCACGCTGACACGGCTTCCAACGCGGACGGAAAGGACTCGTCTAGAAGCCACGTGGCATGATTTTTGCAAACAGGTTTCGATCTTCCAGAAGTGTCGGTCAGTGTAACTGCTGGTAATAACACATCACACCAATAAAAATAACACTTTCACCTTAGGTAATGCATTTTGAAAGTGAAATGCAATGGAATGCAAACAAAAACACACATACCGTAAAGTGCCGCCTATAGGACCCAGGGGACTCTCTACAAATTCTTGTAAAAATGCTAGGGTGGACATTATGGCAGTTGCAATTTTTGAAGAACCGGGGTATACTTATTTATCGACTATCAATACATGCTTTTTTTTGGGCTGGGGGGTCTTATATTCGTAACAAAAAACAGCCTTCATGCGCAGATTTCGCACGAGCGGCGCGTCAGATCTGTGTCAGAATTCGAGTCTGACACAAACAAAGTGTCAGAATTCGAGTCTGACACAAAAGGCGTCTCGAAAGTCGATTTCCTGCCAACACCTAAAAACTGACCCACGATAGCAATAACAAATACTGTATACAGAATAGGGGGGTCTTATGATGATTAGGGGCACAAGGGGGGTCCTCACAAGACCTGCCACAATAAGAGTTCCCCCTACCCATTCAAGAGTACCGAGGGACCCTCTTGTTGGAAACAATGAATCATAAGCGCTTTTGTCGTGTCGAAACACCGCACCTGAAGCGAGGCGAATCATACCGAAGCACCCGCGAGTCAACCCTCGGAGGTTGAAAGGTTGCTGGAGGTTACGCGAAAGTCAAAGGTCAAGCAACCTTTGACCTGACAAGTACAGCGCGACAGTTAAGGACACACAACTGACTCGCTACAGAGCAGTTGCCCGAGTCGTACTGTATCGAACCGCAACAGCAACAGTAAAAGTAGTTACAACCGTATCTCTTCATATTCCTTGTATTATTATATATTCTTGTATCCCTTTGCTATAATCAATCTACTTTGCCCTCACATACTAGCGCAAGGTGGTTCACAATCTCTTCATTAAGCTTCCGCTGTTACAACATTATCCTACTTAGAGTTCTCCCTTGAAAAGATCCTAAGGGGCTATCTCAGCCCAACATGGTATGAGAGCTAACAGGGGAAACTCCACTACTATCAAGTCATTACAAGACATGGCAACAAACAAGGAAAGGAGCTCCTCCAACGGCTCCCCGGGCACTACTCCTACTCCACCTCCTGCCTCTGGCCTGCAGACAGAGGAGGGCACTGCAACAAGACCTGGAGGGACGTCTACTGAGACTCCCGTAAATCACCCCGCCAGCTTCGACCAAAACATGATGGAGAAGTTCTTCTCCTTCATGTCCTTCTACGAGCAGCACCAGCAGTCGGGACCTGCACAGTCATACAACAGCAACAACAACAACGGGGCAATACCCATGAGCCTTGACGGGTCGTCATATGCGCGCGGAAACCAACAGCAGCAACCTACCTTCGCCCCGTACGAGCGCGGGTCGATCAGCTTCATGCCGCAGCCTTCACATGAACGAGATAAACCACTGGACGCGTTACAAGTGCAATCACAGTTCGCGCACGTTCTGAAGCTGCAGACATCAAGGCCCTTCGACGGAAAGGACTTCTTTACCTGGTCATTCGAGTTCGAGTTGATGATGGAAGGCGCGCAGATACTTGGCTTCTTCGACGGGTCCCTGCAATATCCAGCAAACGGCACACAGTATGAGAAGCAGCAGTATACGTATCAATCGATGATGGCGTATACGATTCTGCTGAGAAACGTTACACCGACTCAGCAGCAAAACATACGCTCTTACCGGGGTTATGGCAACTCCGCTGAGCTCGCGTACAGCCACCTGAAGAGCCTGTATCAAGCAACAGACAGCGTAAACCAGAGCAGGTTAATGGCGCAGTTGACAACAGTTGAAATGAAACCGGGAGAAAAAGGGAATGACGTATATCAGCCGATGTCGCGAACTGCGCGACAAGCTCCTTCGATGCGGAGGGTCAATATCAGAAGACGCCTTCGTGACAGTCATCATCGGCGGCCTCGGTCCTCAATGGCGCGCAACAAAAGCCATTCTCCGAGCCCACGGAAGAATTTCTGAAGCAGCACTCTGCGCCGAAATCCACGCCGAGCAGCAGGACATGGACCTGCAAGAAGAACGACACAAAAAGAAGACAACAACATCAGAGTTCGCGTTTCACACTCAACGACGTCACAACAACTACAACAATCGACAGCAACAACCGAAGCCAGTACCTCCCTTCTGCCACATCTGCAAGACTTCAGGGCACCCGCGCACGCACTGCCCGAATCGACAACAGTCAACGACTCCGCAGCGACAGCTACGACCTTCAAGCAATCAAGTCGCATCAACACAGGCGAATCCAACGACCCAGCTCCAATCTTCAACAACTCCAACGGGACAACCTGCGCAAGGAGCAAGAAATATCGTCAGCTGCATGGCAAGATTGAGCAACTCCTGCATCACCGAATCACCACCGCACTACTCACCAGAAGAACAACTCGACGAAGCTACACCCCGCCGCGAAGCACTTCAGCCGAATCCGACATACGCCGCCATCGCCCAAAGCGAGCCATCCGGGAAGGACACGTGGTTCTTGGACAGTTGCTGCGGCCAGCACATGTGTTCTTCAGGACGCTTCGTACAACGAGAGTACCAGCTTCAACGGGAAGTCGTCATCACCGTCGCCAATAATCAGAACCTGCGCACACGACGACAAGGAATCGTCCAACTTCAGTCAAGAAAGACAACGTCATCCTGCAAATGTCCAAGGTTCTAATCGTAGAGGGCTTGGGCTACAACTTACTCAGCGTCAGTCAGTTGATGGCGAAAGGTATTCACCTTGAAGCAGACAGCACAACTCAGGAGTTCAAGCTGTACCACGGGAGAGGAGGTCTCTACATCGGGAAGGCGGTCCTCAAGAACAACGTCTTCGTTCTTGACTTCGTTCCGGACCTTGGCACCGCTGACAGTGACGCCATCGTCAACTTCACGAATTGGACACACCCTCCAGATCTTGATCCAGACTTCAGTCCGAGCGGTTTCTGGTACTCACACACCATTCCTGAAACAGAGAGAACAAGAGCGTTAGCGACGATTCAACAATCGGCAGCAGCAGAGACAACATCGGCAGCAGCAGAGACAACATCGGCAGCAGCAGAGACAACATCGACAGCAGCAGAAACAACATCGACAGCAGCAGGAACATCAACACCAGTCGCCGGTCCTTCGACGACACCATCCTTCATCGACGACACGCCACCAACACCCGCGCAGCAGCTTCAACCAACGCCGCGAGAAGTTCACCGCAGCGCCAACTTCACCGCCGGCTTCTACTCCAACTCCGACATGTACCGACGCTCTCAAGGACACCGCGCCACCGAAGGAACCTGGCACGCAAGAATGGGACATCCAAGCCACACCGTGTTAAACAACTCAATCAGAGCAGGAGTGCTTGACAAAGATTCACTCCTACTAACCGACGGCAGAGAACTTCAGCGAGCTCGAGGAACATGCTTCACCTGCCCCGAAGCAGACTTAACGCGACAACCATTTCCATCTCACCACAATCCAAGCGCACCAGCTTACGCACCGCTCGAGAAAGTGTACAGCGACATCCTGTACAACCGCGAGCCTGGACAGAACACCTACAACTACACGATTACCTTCATCGACGCCGCGACCAGATACGTCTGGCACCTCAACCTACCCAGCCGCAACATGGTCTTCGAAGCGTTCGTCGCGTGGCTTCCTGCAGCAGAAAGAGAATCGGGCGTAAAACTGAAAAGTTTTCAGTCCGACGGGGGAGGAGAATACACCTCACAGAGGTTCAAGGACTACTTGGCAGAGAGGGGAATCAAGCGACTCATCTCCCTTCCCTACGCCCATCAACAGCAAGGTGTAGCAGAAAGGATGAACAGGACACTTCAAGCCACCATGCGCAAGCTGCTACGTGGCATGCATCTGCCCAACCACCAGTGGCCCGAAGCAATGGACCACGCCGTCATGCTGCACAACTTGCTCTCGTCATCATCGCTCCCGAACAACGCATCACCGCACCTGCTGTGGACAGGAAAATTGGGCAGCACAAAAATGTTACGAGTTTTCGGGTGCATGGTACAGTACCGACCACCATCTGCACGCGCCGGCCGTTTCTCCCAACGAGCATAGTGGGGACTACACCTGGGCATCGAAAAACACCACAACGCATGGAAAATCTTCGACATCAACAGCAAGGAAACAGTCGCAGCACGTGATGTCATCTTCTACGAACACCTCACCCTCGACGTTCATCTCGCGTACGTCAGAGCCAACACGGGCGGATTTACTGGCACCCGAGCCTTCGCCACGGCAGAAGACGAAGCTGACTGGGACGAGCAGAACGTGGACCGAGCCTCGGAAGAAGCCGGACCTCTTCCCTACTGCCCAGTGGACGTACCAATGGACGACGACAACCCTCGCGAAAGCATCAACCCAACGTTTACTACCATTTCGCAGACGACGGCTACGTTACACCCGCTGAAGTCAACACCAACGAAGCAGAACGCGTAGGACCCAACTTCGCACCTGATCCAGAAGCTGGAGACGAAGCAGTCTATCCCGAGGACACCACACTCCCCCGCTACACACAGAGTGGACTCCAAATCCTTGGACTCGTCACCGCAGTCCACGGCGCCGACATTCCTAAGGAGCCTGCGACAGTTCAGCAGGCTCTGGGGGGGGAGCACAGGGAAAAATGGCGCGAAGCCATGGACAGAGAGCTGAAGGCGTTAGAAGAACGCAACACCTG